GCACGCCGCCCCCCACCCCCCCCCCCCCCCCCCCCCCCCCCCCCCCCCGTCAAAACAACTTCCAGCACTAACGTAACAGTGCTCAATACAGACACTAGCTAAGAAGCTACAGAGGTCCTGCTCTGCTTCTCTTAAAACACCCCTTCCATCAACAAATCCCCGAAGACGTGAGCGCACCCTGTCAAAGCAGTTGACCCAGGAGAGACTGATCTAGACCCTTAAAGTCTTCAGGATCTTTATATACTGCTTTTATATTGGAGTTGCTAAAAGTCTTCAGTGATGACGATTTTATTTAAGCACGTATCGTAACGGTACTTGGCCATCTCAGTTGGGTTATGTATGAAAAACTACTTAAAAAATATATTTTTTGCAATCATCACTAAACAGCTGTCAAAGTTGCTTGTTTCAAAGTTTTATTCTCAAATTCTTTTTTTCGGTAATCATTTTCCAGGACAGTATTTTTGGAAGTTGTAATTGTGCTCACAATCTTAAACCATTTTTTAGAAATAAAAATAAAATTGCCATTGAGTACAGAAAATATTGGTTGATGTATTCTCTTCCTTGTAAACCAAGATCATTTCCTCACTGAGACAAATGTATGTGGATATTTTGTTTCCTTTTAAAGCAACAAGAATTCCAGTAAATGTTAACTTTAAATGATTTATTTTTACTTTACTGTCTCCCATACATGAGCACACTAAACACGTTTTCATGTTATTTCAAAATGACTTATGAAGATCAGTTCTTTTTGTTTTAGCAGTTTTCTACTACCTGAATTAATTAATAATAGCTATAAACTCCCTACGTTTTAGTCACAGGTTGTGTTCACTTTGATTTTAAATGTTACATTTCTGTCTTTTGTCTTTAAAGTCCTCATTCCATCTGCTTTGGTTTTCTGTAGATTGTTTTTTTTTCTACCATTTACAATTTATTTTGTGTACTTACTGAGTATTTTTGTATATTCCACAGCCTGAGATGTGTGGTCACTACTTGGGAGAGTTTTCCATCACCTACAAACCAGTCAAGCACGGTCGCCCTGGTATCGGAGCCACACACTCTTCTCGTTTCATCCCTCTGAAGTAAAATGGCTGTATCGTTTGTATAAATAAATAAAAAATTGGAGTTTCCATTCAACTTGGCTGTCTAGTGTCTTTTTATTTAATTCAAATGAAGGCGAGTTGTACTGAAAGGCGTACTATGAAAACTACGTATTACAGTACATGTTGGTGCATTGGATGTATAATACATTTTGAGATGTTTTGTCAAAATATGTGAATACCTAAAAAATAATTTGGAAATGAGTTGCACATTGATTTGTTGCCTAAATTACAACTAGGAGTGAGTGTAACCAGTTCTGAAAGTAAATGAAAAGTTTTGGGTATCAAAGGCTGAAATGCATTAAAGTGTAATTTTATTAAACAATTGTGATTTTCTAAGGACAGTTTGCATCACATCCTACCAATAACTGGCGGTGCGCCTGTGTAAAAGTACCGGTGTGTACACGATCTGAACGAAAGTTCCGACCCCATCTGAGAGCCAGCTGCTTCGTGTTGCCGTTTTCAGCCATGGATTCAACGTTTAGCAGCCACAGTATCCGTTTAACGACAAGCAAATAAACATCACACGGTGTAAGAACGAAGCCGAACAGGTAAGTGGTATTTGTTAATCGAGCTTGTGTGTCTATTCCGCCTCTGTCACAATCTGGTTTTTAAAACCAGCTGCCGCTACTTGGCGGCTACCTAGCTAGGAGCTAACAAGTTAGCTTGAGACGAAAATGACAGGAGGTTTAGCCCTGTCAAAACACCGAAAGGAGATTATAATCAACGAAGGTGTAATGAAGACAAGCTGCTAACAGTTTTGGCTTTCACTAGCTGCCATCAGACGTACGTAAATCGTAGTGGTTTCGAAAATGATTCCCTAAATGATTTAGCTTGTATTAACTGAAGAGTTGCAATCCGAGAACAAAGCTCCATCAGAGCAGCTCGCTTGAACTAATGGCACCGGTATTTACTGTGTCCCTCGGTTCTTACGACCCTCTGCGTTTAGCTCATGCGGAGCGGGTATTAAAAAGAGCCAAATGAGCTCATGTTACGTGTTTTAGGTTGTGTTGAAATGTAATGTTCAGAAACATTACAAAAACACTTCCTCTGTTCGCACACACTTTTAGCTTTCACCGGAGCCCAGCTGAACCCAAACATCAGCCAGGACCACCATCAAACCCACATATAATTTAATTATAATCCAAACATCAGCCAGGACCACCATCAAACCCACATATAATTTAATTATAATCCAAACATCAGCCAGGACCACCATCAAACCCACATATAATTTAATTATAATCCAAACGATCCATGCTCTGATCACAACCTGTCCCCAGGTAACGGAGGACTCGGTCTGTTTACTGTGAGCTCATTTCCAGGCAAACATTTCAGCTGCTTCAGGACGAGGCTGTTGCAGCTGAAGGTCTGATTTTATGGATACTCATTTGTTGGATGCAAATACAATAGTTATAAAAATAAAAAAAAACTGCAGGTATAGTATTCCCATATATCTGGATTCTACTTGTATCATCTGTTTTGTGTTGCCAAAAATAAGAAGGTGAACTTACGAGAATGTTTTGATTACATTATATTTAATATAAATATGTAACGTGTGCATTTTAATAGGTCATACTGAATTGCAGTCAGGTGTGCTGGCCAATGAATGCAAAGTGTCAAGAAGATCAAACTTTGTAACAAAAAAGAGGGCATCTGGAAAAGGTACAGCATCTGTCACCTGAACTGTTTTCATGCTCAATTAGTTGTCTGAAAACTATTTTCATCAATTATTTATTAAAGAGTGCAGAAATGCTCCTGTCCACAACTTATTCAGTGTTTGTAACGTCACCACCCAGTTGTATAACTGTGAGCACGATGGCCGTGGATGGACTTTCGGACAGCACTGAGGTGGTAGAGATGGAGGACGTGCCACCTCAGTTCTTTGTGGAGAAACATTCTTGGGAGGGTCTCCGAGACATCATCCACTGCAGCAGGAAATACTCGGGTATGATTGCCAACAAGGCCCCCCACGACTTCCAGTTTGTGCAGAAAGCAGAGGAGAATGGACCCCACTCCCACCGGCTGTACTACCTTGGTAAGTTGGTTCTTGCTCCATGAAAATCCTCAAAATAAAATACTCCTATTTTTTTTTTTTGCTTGCTGTGTTTTGCTGCCAATTTCTCTTGATTAATAAAATGTTTCTGTAAAACGTGTTCTTGTGCAGCACTCGGCACTAGATTTATGCTTGTTTTGGTTGAAACATTTTTCTGTGTGTTTACCAGGAATGCCTTATGGAAGCAGAGAGAATTCATTACTCTACTCAGAAATCCCCAAAAAGATCCGGAAAGAGGCCCTCTTAGTGTTGTCATGGAAACAGATGCTGGATCACTTCCAGGTAACCTGCCAAAGTGCTCCCCCGTCCAAAGATGTTCTTTTCAATCTTTATTTTTTTCATTCATTCAGCCTTTATTTAGCAAAGCATCTACTTTTATAGTTAATTTGTTTTTAGAATAGAAGATAATTAAAAAGGGTTTTAGTTTCTAAACTGAGATATTTACAGAAAAAAATTCATAATTTTTTTTTTCAAATTAAGTAAAATTGTTCCTACTTTTATTTTAATATAACGTGTACTTAGATATACTAAACAATTATGTGATTATTGAAAGGGATTTATTTTATTTGTTATTTATTTATATAACATTTTCTGTGTAAATTTCATCGTAAGATTCATGCATACAAAATATAAAACAAATAAGAATATGTTGTTTTTTATTTATTTTATTTACAATGACGGACAAAAAATATTTAATACAATTAGTATAAAGTATTCAACAAAAGATTAATGAAAATTTGTCATTTAAAAAATAATAAGAATGAAACAGTATTACGGGCCTCCGTTAGTGAATATTTAAAAGTAATTAAATCAAAGTACTCATAGAAAATTTGAAGAAAAACAGAAACTGAATAACATAAAACCACTAAAAATCAAATCAAACGGCAGTTAATTAAAATCCACAACAAAATGCCAGTAAAAATTGTAGTCCACAGAAATAAGTATACAAAATATATAAATACAACTTCAAATGTATATGTACAGTATATAAACACAAATGGTAATGTGAAAAAGTGTACTGTTACTGATTCTTAAGACATGGAGGAAGGTGCTGCACTGAAGTACATGAAGAATGATAAAACTGATGAGTCATCCCATGAAAACATGGGAGAGTTGCTGAAGCCTGATGAAGTCAGATGATCAGTGAGAGCAAGATGACTTCAGGATGTCTTTGTGATGACTTCGTCATGACTTCAGGATGACTTCAGGATGACATCATGATGACTTTGTGATGACTTCAGGATGACTTCAGGATGACATCATGATGACTTTGTGATGACTTCATGGTGACGTCGTGATGACATCATGATGACTTCAGGATGACTTCATGATGACTTCAGGATGACATCATGATGACTCATGATGACTCATGATGACTTCAGGATGACATCATGATGACTCATGAAGTCATCATGATGACATCATGATGACTTCGTGCTGACTTC